AATTACTGTACCACGTAGTGCCTTAAGAAACAACAAAAAACTAAAGTGAACCTAAAACGTAAGGCGTTGAAATAACTTTACAGTACTGCAAAAGGAGACAAGAGAAAAATTCCTTGGCTGAGAACAACAAGCTCCCATTTGCATGCACAAACTGTCAAAAGACCTCTCGGATAAGTAAATGCCAGTTGCCAAAAAGTCATCTGGGATGGAAATCAACTACTAGGTTGAAAGGACACCACTGGGAAAACACAAATGCAGCACCAGTGAAAGCACTGGAAGACGTGGGGTATTTGTTTGCTAAAATATGCGTTGAAGTACAACAGCCCAAGTTGATATTATCTACAAACAATGATTCTCTGGGACTGGATGAAATTCATGCAGCCATTCTACAGGGAGTAGGAACTTTCTTGACCCGGCCTTGAAGGAAATTATTTGACGATATTCCTAACCAAAGACAATTTGCTTTAGACAGTAGATAGATAACAGATAAGAATCATGACCAAGTTTACTGGGCACTACAGATTAGAAACATTCGCAAGCAACAATGGGATTGCATTCAGTCATGAGAAATTCTAGATGGCACATTTAAAACACAACAGATATGTTACTGTTGGAGAAAGATTTGCTTTCTTTGGCCCCATAAAAAGCCACGGATGTTCGCTAGCTGCGACAGAAACAAATTTCGAGCAGATGTGTTACTAGTAACTCCCAGACAAACTTTCCGACAACTTTTGTTAGCTTCACGTGACCACACCAAAAGTTCGAAATATAGTCTTAATCGTTCACTGTAAAAAGAAAAGTAGAGTCTGGAACATGTACTGAAGAGGTCACTAGGGCCCATTGATGAAGCGGACATTAAACCTGGGGTGAACCGATGGTGGCACTTGGTTTATATACTTTTAAATTTAGGAGGCTAAGATAGGATTCAACAATGGCTTGTATCATCCTCTTCTCCTCAGGACACTGACTTCATCACTTATGCAGCCTAAGCCGTAGCACTAATTTTGGAAGGAGTGCGATGAGCAAATCCCAAAATAGCGGACTAGATGTCAGACACAACTTCTGTCGGCTAGAAGCCCCTGCATCTGGGAGCGCTTCCTCTGCGGAGTTTGCTCAGGCCCCCCTTCCCGAATCCTTTAAGTGCCAACATGACGCTTAATTACGATGCAGATAGGAGGTTAAACACAATTAATTCTTCTCGCCTACCTCATTGCTGTCTTATTCTTTTTAATTTGTTTGGTACAAGGGTTAACAGCCGGAGGAACTTGTCACCCACTTCTTCCAGACCTCACTGTGGTATTAAGCGTCTGCATGACCGCCACCTTACATAGTAGATTGAAAAAATAGCAGTACTACTTCTTTGGGTTTCCCAAGCCAACTCCTGACGTTGCTTCTTCGTTGTCTCTTCAGCTCAACTGCTTTACCCTCTTGTTCTTTCTGAGGGAATATCCCCTGTGAAACGTCTTTGCAGCTTGCATGTGTATATCTGAAGCTAACTGCAAGGCTTGCTGACAAGAAGGGAAGACGGAAAAATAATTGTATGGGGGCACACCTGCATTAGCTTGTTTCTCTTCCCATCCCCCGTCGTTCCAAGATATTCACGAAGATCGGTTTCCCCACCACCCTTTATATTACTCCCTCGTATGCTGTCATGATGGACCGAAAGATTAGATCCGAGGAAGTGGCACTTACAACGAGGTCCCAAACTGACGGAAGAAATGTCCTCCATGACCACACATCCACATGTGGGTAAAGCAGACCACCGGTTTCACCGAGAAACACTTGCTTCATATTTCAAAAATACCTACAGCGACCCTGAGCTGGACTCATAGTAGCTCTAATACACCATAAGGTAGACCCGAATATGGCAAATATTGCTCCTCACCAGTTGTCTGAAAGAATGAAATGCTGCAAAAGCTTCATGAATAGTTTTTGACGAGCTGAAGTACCATCCCCATGGAACGTGTATGATACACTAATTCCTGATGACAGAAGTATGTGCGCCAAAGTCGTACCAGCTGCAGATGAGGCCGTTTCAATGCAGCTCACATTAACCGCAGCTGCAATACTACTGGACAGCAAGGCGCCACTGGATCACTAAAACGTCCAACAACCATGCAAATGTCCTTAATACATCTGCTTGAAATGTAGAGAGCTGCCTGTAGTCCACAAAACAGTCCCAGGGGTGAGTGCCCACCACACAAAAAACACTGACCCCACTGGGTGCGATAGATGACATGTGGAAAACAACACAAGGTAAGATATGAACAAAATGGAGAATCTTGAGATCGACTTGGTTACATTGTGCACATTCGATCGGTAGAACTTCAGCAACATCTGCTGTGTGATGGCCAGCTGTGCTACTTGCGTGTCCAAAAATTTGTTGGTGGTGTTGCGTTCAGACCTGTGCAATAACGAATGGAAGTCAAGGAACAAAACTAATTGGCGTCAACTTCTCTAACTAACGCATGTGAAAACTGCATCGGGCCGGACTGTTTTACCCCCCTAAGCACTCAAAGGAAGCCATAAATCCGGGGAGTAAGATGGTCTCTGCGGGGACAGGACACCATGGTCTTCGCATTCGTGGGACGAAATGAAAACAGAAGGTGCTGATACTGCCTGCTGAGGTAAGGAGTTCCAGTCGTTGACTACACGATGGGAGAAACACAGATTCACGCTAAGTTGATTCGATCGCGGTCTGGAATTTTATCGTGACGCCCTCGGAGGTAGTCAATCCTAGCAAGGGAGAAAAGATAGGACATATCAGTACCAAAGTCATCATTAAGAATACGAAATGCCAGTATGAGATCATGCCATTTCCCACGGTAAGACAGTGGAAATAAGTTTAGCTGAACTAATCGTTCCTCATAGGACGGATTCGAAAGGCCTGCCAAAGGCTTAGCACCTGCCCTCTGAACATGCTCGAGTGCGTCAGCATCCTTTTTAAGGCATGGACTGGCCGCCTGAATGTAGTCTTCCAAGTGAGGTCCAGCGTAAGTAGAGTATTCTATACATGTCCTCGTCAAAACATTTGAAAGCTCTGCGGAAAGACAATAACATACGGAAGCCCTTTGCTGCAGCTACATTACAGCTGGCTGAAGTTTTCAAATCATGACTGATAGATGACACCCAAGTCTTTTAGTTCAAGGACTGGAAGTAGTGGTGTACCGTCAACGGAATACTGGAAACAATTGCTATGACCAGGTGCACCATTGCACTTTTGTTAGGATTGGTCTCCAGGCACCAACGTTTGAACCAGCCTACTATTTCATATAAACCCGCCTGAATTGCACACCCATCTGCATCACTGTGTATGGCTCTCCAAATCTTCACATCATCGGCAAATAACAGGACCGAAGAGTTGGACATATTTGGCAATCCGTTGATATATAACAGGAAGAGTGGTGGACCTAGGATTGTTCCTTTAGGAACTCCACTCATCACAGGTTTCCACCCGGATAGTGTCCCATTTACCCTTACTCTTTGCCTTCTATCGTGTAAAAAGTCCTTATCCAAGCTTGCAATGACGCACCAAACCAGAAAGGAGGAGAGATTTCCTAGTAATTTCATATGCGACACTCTGTCGAATGCCTTACTGAAGTCTATAAACACAGCATCTATTGGCAGCTTGCAATCACGGCTGGAAACCATTCCTCTCTTGCAGTAAGGAGGTTAGTTAGACAGAGTGTCCAGTACGAAAACCATGTTGCTGTGGTGCCAAAAAATTGCTTGATTCCACATGTTTAAGTACCCTGTCACGAATTATTTTTCTAAAATCTTAACAACTATGCTAGTTAGACTCACAGGACGATAGTTAGACACCAAATGGCGACTATCAGTCTTAAAGACTGTGCTGATTACGGCATCTTTCCAGTCTCTAGGGAGGCGAGTCTGAGTTAGGGACATGTTGAAAAGATCCGTGACTGGCTCAGCAATGATGTCTGCTAGCGAGGATAGAAGTCTTGGATGCAACTCATCGGGACCTGGGGATTTTCCGGGTTTGAGGTTAATGAGCAACTGTGAGACTCTTTCCTTTGTTGTGAGCACTGTATCTATTAGTGAAACAGTGCTGACACCACTATTTGGCACTTCACCGTCATGATCTACAGAGAAGACATCACTAAAGTAATCAGAGAGACACTCAGCTTTGAACAGATTAGATCCCGCCAGACTATCGGACTTCTCATCCGTTGCCAGAAAGGGGATTCCGCATTTCCTATTTAGTCCTCCCTCTGAAGAATGCGAACAGTCTTTTAGGACAATTTTTGGCATTCCCTCACAAGCTGCTGCTCGTAAGGCATTCGAGACCGTGTAATCAAAGTCTCGCAGAGATTACGGACTTTGCAGAACTCAGTCTTAAGTGTCTGCAGTCTAGTTTCTAGAAACAGTCCCATAAACGTTTCCTCCGCCTTAGCAGTCTCTTAATGTCTTCATTAAACCAAGGAGGGCGATGTGAGGATCGTCGTGGAGTCGAACATGGAATAAATGGCATTGCTGCCTCTTCAAATAGAGTTCTAAGCATATTCCATGCATTCTCAATTGATGAGTCCTTGTCGATGGTCCAAACCGATAGTACAGAAACCATGCTTTGACTTCAGCCCACAACTGGCCACTTCACAGGTCCCGCATTCATGTGCTTCAGAAGTGACTAATCGTACGTGGACGTCATCCCGAACATATAGTAGTACGCCGCCACTTTCGCGACCCATAACCCTATCCGTCCTTACACAGTAGTACCCTGCTATGGGTGGCGAAAAATCTAGATCCTTGATTAACCAGGTTTCAGTAACGGCCACCACATCAGGACCTAGTTCGCAGATTAGAGCCTCGAGGTCTGTCATTTTGCTTCTAATACTGCCAACATTAGTGTAGATAACTTTCATTGTGTTGGAAGAGTTCCATGACCCACCCACAACCCGAAAACCCACTATCTTAAGACGTCTGGCACGGTCTCTTACAGCATGTAACAATTTTAAAACCGTACGGTTCTGTAATTAATAATGGTTGGAGTATGCAGGTTAAACGTCTTATTGAGTTTTGTCCTCCTTATGAACCGAATGGAGGTTACCGCTTGGACAATCAGGCCCAGTGCTCGATTATTAGTCTTGGTGTTTTTTCTGTGAGTCCAATCTAAAGGATCTGCTGGCTTTTAACTGATGCGCATCACAGTTTGTTGATAGACTGCTCCCACATTTACTGAATGTTCTACGCAATTGCATAAAGTAACATAAAAGATAATATTGTTTGCTCAGAGCATCAAAGTAGGTTTATATCTAGTAATCCATTTCTGCTTCAGAACTTCCTCAGGTGAATGCTTTAGTTTTACTTTGTCTAGTCTTTTGAGCCAAGTTGCTCTGTCAGATACAAGTCGTTCCGAAACCGTAAGTAATGATTAGCTGTTCTTTGAACATAAAGGCTGTAAAATAGCCCTGATAAAATGCTTTAATATTATGCGAACTTGGTTTTCAGCAAATATGCATATTTTTAACTTCCGGTTTGTAAACAGGCTTTTCCAATACGAGTCAGTTTCTTTTTAAAGTGATTCGAGTATTAACCCAAGGACCATTTGTTTCACGTGGTTCCAGAAATTGATTGTTCGGTGACGTAGCCAGTATTCCATGACCATAAGATTCGTCATTAGTTCCCCAGACCTCTTGTTATGTCTTCTAAGTTATTCTAATCTAACGGAAAGCTGGATAAAGAAAAGTCGGACCCCAAGCAGTTTATAACGTCTTCAGTTTTGCACTCGCGTGTGCATATTCTTACCCATTTGTGAAAGTGGGAACATTTTCTTCTAAGCAGTTGTCATGTTAACAATTAACGCTACAACCTGCTAGTCATTTTACCCATATCCCGGGACTGTGGTGGATGAAGCTGGGCATGAATTAAAATTTTTTTAATTAAATGCTTAGTGCCGACCAACTGTTTGTTTTCAGTAATATAGTGCAGATCAAGTCCATTTTTTAAAATACCCGTGCCATTACATTTAGTTAGTGATGCAAACACTGGAACATATGAGTGAGTCATCAAATAGTCCAAGTTTGTGTACTAAGTAATAGGTCACATTGTGTAAGGTCTAAGGATACTTGGGTGCTTAAACATCAGTAGGGCTGTTCAGTTTTTACTCAGGAACTAAACTGTTTAGCGTAAGATGGGCAGTTGGCAATTTCACTGACACATTTGATTACCTATTCGACACCCGTCGATAAGCAACTTCTTATTTTGCATAAGCAAGTTTTCCCTGCTTCATGAACTTACGAGTTACCCTCAATAGTGAGTGTAGTTTGCTTCTCAAGTACCGGGAATGCTTGGAATTTAGGATGAGCTACTCAATGGAGACATTATACTGAGTGTAATCACTAATGTTCACTCTCGGTTTCTTTGAATTAAAGAAGTTTTACAATTTTCTTTCGATATTTCAGACATGAATCTTACTTAAGGTTGTTCTGTTATTGGGGCTATAGGTCACTGGTCTAGACGATCGACTTCTACTTCATAAAGTTTATGTAGACAAGTTAAGCCGGTAACCATCATATAATGCATCAAAAGTGCGCATGGCTGCTACACTACGTTCCAATTCACTCCATAGTAGATATAGAGTACTTGAAAATGAAATAAAAAGTAATGAACTGCTGACGCTTTTGAACACTAACCACTTTTGGTATGTTTCTCACTTCCCTTATGCACGTCAACTGCTAGGAAGAAATTAGTTAAGTATGTCTATCAATACACATCAAGTCTGTTAAGTTTATGGATGACAAAATCTTTGCACGAGTGCGAAAGTCTTCTTATTCTTATTGCTATTATTCTGTATTTTCTACTCCTCTCCTCAAATGATTCTAGATTCCTGTTTCCTTGTTACTTTCCACGTGTATCAATGTGAGTTACGGCGGCTGATTCCACAGGCGATTTTATGAAGCTTAACATGAGTAATGCCTGAACGTGCTTTGTGAAGTACTTGCTGAAGTATAGAAAAGTAACCCTTTCAAAGTTACTTGTTTCCCCTTGACTTTATTGTTCTCTGTGTATTGATGACGTTTAACATCAACAAAAAGCTCCCCAGTTAATTAATTATCTGTAAGGTACCTAATAAGTTTTTCAACTGTTCTTATATCACGTATGTTTTGTCTTAGTTGAGTGTCAGTGCAAGCGAAGTTAGCGGTGAAATAAGCTTTGTTGATGGATATAAATACGTACGCTGCAAGATATCTGGTCACTGTTAGTGGTTTTCCTTAGCGCTTTGCACGCAATTCAGCATCAGGAATGTTTTTACTGACTTTTTTTCGACAAAACGTTGCACTATGTGTTTCCTAAATGTGACCATATTTCTATTTCTCGTCGTCAGTGATGTTGTGCTCAGTTTCAAAGTTAATTTCTTACACTTTATCCTTTTTGCAGATTATTTCCAGCATTTTAGATTGTGCTAGTAACCTCATTGATCAAATAAATGAGCTGTTACAGCAACCTATTGATCGCTTTGCTGCCGTTTCGGCTTTCCTTCGGCAACCAAAGAACCAAAATACTGGTCCTGATGCTGTGAAATATCAAAATCAACAGCTTGCAGCAGAGCGACTATGTACATTCCTTGCTCCCTCATTAATTGGTCTCTTGAGAGGTGCTGCTCGGGGTGTCGCTCATGTTAATTCCCTCAGCTGTTATAAGCCAAATTTCCCCTATTTTGTGGTTTCCCGGTTATACCAGCCTTTCCAAACTTCTAAACAGACAGATAGTGGTGGATGGCAAGCTTCAATGAATTCATGTTCCCATAAACTGACAGAAGAAAACTACGAATTCACTCTAAGTGTTTATCCATCCTTCTGTTGCATAATACCTCATTCTCTGTGTCATTCATTACTTATGACTACAAGTGATACAGGTGAGAAAATTCGTTTTTGATTACATCATTGTGACCAGTCAGTCTTTTCCTAAACAAACAAACATGCTTGAAACCGACGGGCAATTGCTTGGCTGATTTTATGTGAACGTTATGCTTCACAGCGTTGCAAGTTAGATAGCAGTTAAAATATCCCCATTATGATAATTAAAAATCTCAGTTCTTAAGGAGATAAATGAATATTTTTGATTGTTTCTCAACAGGTTTTACAATTGAACATGGAAATTATACATCATGCATACTTGACACCATTGCGTTCAGTATCATTCGACATCATGCATGCAGACAAGGGGATAGACAAATCAGTGTAGGGTATTACTCAGGCATGCCCTCATTTTAGTCACCTCACTTCACAACAGCATAGAGATGAAACGAATCGTGAATGAATGGTATTGAAGTCAGTGAAGTGCATGCGAGGTAAAAAGGTGGATTAGTAGATACCCATAAAATACCGTAATTTTTGAAGATGATAAAAGTGAGCCTATTTGCACCTTTGTGACCGAGTTCAAAACGTGTTACCAAGCATCTTCAGTATTTTATTCCTATCGTCTTTAGGACCCCGTTTATGCAAACTGTACTGTACATAGGACTCAGACCAACATTCAAACACTTCATGGATTGATGCCATGCTCCAGTGTGACAACCTTTAGCTTTTCTCGACCTAATCTGACTTCAACCAACATGCGTCGAGGTGAGCAGTAGCTTGCTATTTGCAATATATATCCCAGACATTTGAGTCGATGAAAGTTCGCAGTATCACCGACTAACTTTGCTTCCGTGCTCAGTATTCTATGCCTAACTCACTCTTTGATTCCACCTCACCCAAACGGTGCTACGGAGATACAACCTAAGATATGTGGCTTTCTCACTTTAGATCATTAAGAAATGCAAGTCAGAGAAACTGGTTTACTCCTAACGAAAAACATTGACACTATTTCAAGAGCCAAAAGGAGACCACACCTATTAGCCACTGCATTTTATTGAAAATGGTGGATATGTATCACTTCCAACCATGGAAGACACCTTGCTACTATCATTGCCATCCACCCACTAATACGACTTAATCCTCAGACCCACATGGTAGTGTAGTAATTTGCTCTGTGAATGTTACTGCTTTTTTCTCTTACCAATATCCAAATAACCTTTCTGATATAGTAGAACCTCAAGGAAGCAAGTGTCCCCACCAGCATAGCTCTTTGGTATGCAAGCCCAACCACTACATCAAGGTTGTAGTTGTCCGTTGGGTGACAAGGAAATGCCCATCTGGTGCCATATATTATTGGATAAATAGGTTTACTTTAAAGTTGTTTTTGTCTCATTAACCCTGTAACTTTCGTCCAATAATATTTCATCTCATTTATTGTATAAATTAGCCGGGTTTCATCCAACATTTGTCGAGCCTATTCATATTTTCATTGAATATTATTATTTCTCAGCAGATGTAGAACATTCTGATCTATCAAATGATCATGACTCGGTTAGTAGTTCATGGTTCCATCCTAGTGGAAGTGAATATTTACTCAGTCAAGTTGCATCTGTGTATGGCTCGCATCTTCCCCATCGTGCTGTGATGAGTGAGGATCATCTTGGTAGCGGTGGCGTATCACCATTTTCTAGATGTCTCACGTCTTATAATCCCTCTAGTAATTTGACCATCACAACGTTCACATCTAGTCACCTGAGATCTCTTGTGAAAATGGTATGTTCTTTCTATTTGGTTAAATGATATGGAAGTTGATTATATATTATTGTGGTATCTTTCACTGCTAAAATGTTGATCTTTATAGCTACATTGTAAAAAATGTCAGTTGAAAACGTAGTTTAGGTTTTTCCTTTAGACTAAAGCTTTTTTATTGTATGAGATTTATTGCGTTGAATATCTTATTTTCTGTCGGCGTATTTCAGAGCGTCAAATGATGTCGCCCTTTTTATTTCTTTAGTTCAGATACCACCTCTTATTCCACATCCACTTGTATGTTTTGTGGAGGTATGGCTCAGTAGTTCAGGGAAATAACTATCAATCTTTGGGTCTCAGGTTCGAGCCCCGCTCCACCTGCTGAAGCTTGGGCGGCCGGGTAGTATGACTAGCTCTCACAGTAGGTATGTGGGTTGTTCGTTTCGAGTTGTTCTGCTGGTTGACTTTCAGTGTGTGATTTTACTTGGACATCTGTCTGGTCAAATTCTTGTGCCTAGACTTCGAACCTAGGTGGGTAACTGAAACGACTAGAACTGGCTTTTCTTTCTAATCTATTTGTACCGAATGTAAACTGCAGTTATTGTTGGTCCCTTTTAGATGGCCTTTTTTCGTCCTTTGACACCTTGTCCCACTCACTTTCATAGGACATGGTATGATAACATTTATATAAAATATTCTTACATTTGTGTTAAAATGGCATTATTTCAGTTCAGCGCTACACAAAAGTGGTGATTCATACAACACTGTTTCCTCCTAAATTTCATCTAGGCTTATCAGTTAATGAATGAACGATTCGCTAAGCGCTTGGATGCATTAGCAACTAACTTTTGGCCTGTAAGTTGCTATTTACTTTTTGCTTACCTTTTCATTTTCACTACCTCTCTTTCTCATTCTTTCCTTTTATTTGTTGTGAATGGACCTTTTGATAAACCATCATCATCGTTCTTATTTAATTCATGCTTACCCTCTTTAATAATTCATATTTTTTTTCCAGTGTCGACCTAAAACTGGTCGTTATCCTTACCGATCATTTGCTCATTGCATTAGGTTATGTTGTCTGCTGCTCATACGAGATATATTTCGCAATCCTAAGCAAGGTAAGTCATTAATTAGTGAGTTTGTTATTATCATGTTTGCACTATTGTCACTAGGATTTTAAAGTGTTTATTATTCAGGTTGAAATTATTTTGCTAACTGATCGATATTATTATTAACATGAAGGAGATCTTGGAGGATTCAGTAGAATAAGTTATTCATTTTAAAAAGATGCAATAAGTGGAGTGTGCTGAATTGTTGTTCTATTAGGTAGGTTTTACTTCGTTGAGTGAAGTTACATAGTGGGGACTGAAATCAGCGTACAAACAAGTGGTGACATTGAATAATCGATTAGAATGTTAATTAAGTGTTTTCGGTTAGAGAAAAGAAGTGTAGCTTCAGCTTATTGTTGTGCTAAGAGTCCATTATTCACAGCAATATTTTTTCAAAATGCATGCTGTGACTGGATAGGCTTCTAGTGGAGTTACCTGTTGTTAGCATCCTCAAGTTCTATAGAATAGTCTGTCTTGTATTACTTGTATTGCAGCGATGATATCTGAACGGAACTTTGGCTCATTAATCTAAACATTCGACTTTCAACCAGTGTGTCATGATTTGGATCACTGACCCACCTATCGAGGTTTGGGGAGCCAGATAGTGTTATCAACGACCCTTCACGTTATTTTTTAATAAATCCGTCACTAATACTCAGATCGTGTCAGTAGCTTTACTGTTCCTTTTTCCTTAACATTCTGGAGCATATTTCGATGTAGGCAACTAAATAAAGTAACTTCTAAGGCCGATAGGTGCTACTTTGACTTGGCCAGGCTACAATGACCTAAGGGGCTACACTAACTAGAACGTTTGTTACCTCGAGTTCTTACCATGCTAGAAGTGTCTGTTAGATAGTGATAAGATGAAAAGAAGTTACTATCGGAGTGTTAATGACTACACTATGGTGGGGATCCGAGGGCGAAATCGTACTGATACTAGCTGGAAGGGGTGTGACAGCGGTAAGGTATTTTCCTTGGACAACCAGTAGTGCCGTGCTAATGTTTCCTTCCCTATGGCAACGCGGGGGGGGGGGGTAGAAAAGGTCGACCCACAAAACAGCATACTCCTTTCTGTCCTATTGTCTTTCGGCGCCAGTGATATAGGTTTTCTTTGTCCAGAGTTAAAATAATCACGTCTGGAACCGAAAGTGATTAAAATAATCAGTTGGGCTTCCTTATTTTGGCTTTAAGGTTGCTTTTTTCGTAAAATAAAGAAATCTAATTGAGCACCTCGTTAGTTGTTAGGATGGCCTTTAGAGAACTCTAAACTAGAGTGACTCGAAAGATCATACTATGAACTACTGAAATCATCATTCATATCTCCTTATTTTGAGTGGACAACTGTCTGTTCCCCTATGAAATACAGCAACTTAATTGGTTGATTCATTAGTTGCTAGAGTGATTTTTAAAACTAATCGACATTGTAAAAGGTGTGATATTTTTCTTTGAAGAGCATCGTCTAAATATGTTTTTCATTGTTAATAATTTAAGTGGATATGCATGAGAAATTTGTAGTTAACTTTCTCATAACTTATACACGTTTTCAGCCCCGCTCATTGCCGTGGTGTAGCAACCATCATTGTTCTCTTGGCGACCACATGCAGGTTTGTGTTTAGGAAAGGAGCTAAGCCTATTGTTTGACGACTTATAATACTACCTGGCTGCCTAAACCTTGGTGGTATATGAGTATGGGTTCGAAATTCTGACCCACTTTTTAAGTTTGCCCCCCCCTCCCCCCTAGATGAACTAACCGTATCTCCACCACCATAATATAACTGAAGGTAAGTAGAATTAGCTTTTTTTCAAAGTACTATGCTACAATCATTAGTTTATGGCCTCTAGGAGAGAAGTGATATCCGTTTGTCACTTAACGGGTTCATTCCTGCCAAAATAGAATGGTTACACTTGATCAAAGCATGTCGATGGTCCACCCAGGGGTTTTTGAAAACCCTGAGTTAAATGGTTTGCATGAACCTCAGAATCGAGAAATAATAAAGTATTGATCTGTTATGGTTGCCACTAGTCAAGAGGGGGTATTCCTCACTTTGATTACCTTGTTGATGGTGGCTTCGTGTTCTCCGAACTTTGATATTTCGACGTGAATGTTTCATCGTCAGGTTTGGTTGGTAACCTCAGCACTAACGTCGAACCATCATCATCCTTATCATGATTACCTTATTGACTGAACGTAAAGTCAAAGGCTCGTGAAGTGGTCTTCAAGGTCTGCCTCCTTTTTCTTTCTCGAAGGCTAAAAACATCTCAACCTTCATTTAATATCTTAAATTCATCGTAAGAAAATAAACCTACGTTCATGGTACATGCACTCTTCTAGTATCTATATCCCGCATCAATCATCAGTCAAGTCAATCAAACCTACGTAGCGTCTTATACAAGTTTTATTCAAGGTTTTTATTGAGACTACAGTGTAAAAGACGGTTTTGTTAGTAGCTTAGATATTTGGTTTTATTTGATCAGTAACTGGTTCTGTTACGGGTGTCTATATTCTTTATTTCCCTTACTAACCGTACTTTGTGAACTCATGTTGTTTATGTCTTTTTCTCTCACATGGGTTACATTTCATGTGAAACCTGCTAATGTTCTAATTTGCATCGTTTAGTGTACTAATTATTCTTTGTTTTATCCATTGTGAACCTTCACTGACTGAAGTGTCGTTGACATGTATTGCGTATACCAAGCCACCATTTACCTCGACGTGGAATGCTTGGGAAAACTGGAATAAGTTGGAAGAGGGTTCAAGGTGGTCAGGCTAATATGTGGCACCGGTCCATGAAGTCCCTGACTGTTGGTCTGAGCCATGTGGAGGGATTTAGACTACCTGTCTCGTGTCTGCTACATGATAGGAATTAGTGGTTAAGGTATCTTAATGACTTGGCTGAAAATCGGTCGTAGTTGCTCAGAGGTATTCACCCATTGACATCTAAAGTTTGAATATTTTCACTAACAGTTATCTTAAGATTGGTAATTGTCTCACACAACTTTGTCTACTTTGATGTCACTTTCTATGCTCCTGTTCGTTGTATGCTATTGTGAAGTATGGTAAGTGAAACCGCCGATGCAGTTGTGTGTAACGTTCTACTTTGATTTTGCCAGTCGTTTTATTAACTAAAATGATTACTTCGTTCATTGTTTTTAGAAATCAACGATAAACTTTCATCCAGTATACAAAATTTGATGCTTGAAGTCTATGCAATATGCCTAACTGAAGTGGCGCATTTATCAGCTGAAGCTGCCGGTATGTGTTCACCACCAGAAGTTGTCAATAAACAAAAAACTTATTCATCCGAGGAAAACATCACCTCCAGTTCAAAATGTCCGACCACATTTTTCCAATCCTGAGGATGATGATGATGATGATGGTACTAACGAAAACCAAGAACAACAATTGTCAGGGTATACAGACTGTTCACAATCAGGCAAAGAAAATGGTTTGCATAATAAAGTAAACCTGTCGAACAAACTGCATAATGGATATTCAAATGACAATGCGTCACCTGATGAATTTCACAGCTGTGATGATAATGGGAACAATTTGGTGAGTTTTAGAATTGTATCTGTGTTAATTTAACTGGCGATGCCTTCACTACATTTTTTTGACCGTCGTCGCATCCTTTCCTGTTGTCTAAGTTAGCTTTAGAAGTTTATTTGACTGAGGTGTTGTGTGAATGAACAGTTGACTGTCTATCCTAAATATACTGTTTGCTTCTCGTTAATAGTCGGATAAATTGGTGCCACACGAACTTGGAGGTGTGGCTTACACTAATTTAAGGAGTTGACTTTCAACCAATGGGTCACGAGTTTGGTCACAGCTTCACCTACCGAGGCGTGAGCAGGTGCCACTTAGTATCATTGGCCCTCACACAATAAGTGTGGCTCATTTCTCCTACTGCACGGATGTGTAAAGGGGGACTGACTGGATTTCGTTGTTCCTATTATCATCATAATCAAAATTAGCATAGGACTAGGCATTACTACGTAACGGTCCAAGTTGCATATCAAGCAACAAGACAATAAAATGAAAGATGAAGAAAGAAAGAAAGATCTGTCAAAAGAAGTAGGAAGTAGTAAAAAAGATGAAGAACGAGTGAGAAAATGATTAGATTAAGTATAAGGGTTGAAATGAAGATCATATGTGTATACATCTGAGCCACTAACATCGGTTCTGAGCCATGATACATCACCTGGAGGTCTCCAACCACTGGTTTCTCTTGTCTCGTGGACCCCAACCGGCTAGTCTGCATCCCCCTACATAGTCCAGACGAACAGTCAAAGACTTCATGTATTGATGTCATGTTTTAGCCTGACCCCGTCCTGAGCCTTTTTCCAGCTTGAACCTACTTCAACCAACATTTTGCGACGATAGATAGTGGCTAGGCATATGTAAAATGTGTCCCAACCATTGCATTTGATGAAGGTTCACAACCGCATCAACTGACTCTCTTCTCTTTCCTAAAACTCTACGCCTGACTTCTGCGTTACTGGCGTGGTGATACAACCTATACTACGAAGACAGCGGTGGTCAAACACCTGGAGTTTTCTCATGTCTTCGGCCTGTTCGTATCATACTAATATTGAGTTTTCCTATCGCTTTTTCTTCACGTGAAAGATCAATTCAGTTATAGCAAGAATGACTACTTAATAAGAAAATGTAACTAACACGATGGTTGTTGGTGTTTACTTACTGTTTTAAAAAAATATCTTTACAAATCATATTTGAGCTTGGCACCATCACTGGAGATTAATTTTACCACTCGTTAACTAATGTGTTTCGGCGCATGTACAAAGTAAAGCTGGACTTGTCTGCTTCATGTCTAGCACTGGAGTCCAAGTCACGCGTTTCCTCCTATTTGAGACTGATCACTCACCTCGATGAGTAATGTTCTCCCCACTTAGACTCAAACCCAGTAACCGTCGCTCCGAACGCCAAAGCACCATCCACTAGGCCACATGGGCGCACAAGGATTCAACAAAAAAGTTAGACCTCTTTTTTGTCATCCAATCCGGTGAATGATCTTTCCAGCTATCTCATCTAACGAAAACTGTGAAGTATTTCTGTCTCAGGAAAATAAGACATCAGATATTATCAAGTATTTGTACGGAAAACAGCCTTTTAAGCTGATGCAGCGTTCATTTCACATTGTGAAGTCCTTTTTTAGTGTCCGAGATATGATGTTCACGAATGGTATGCCATTTTTCCAAAGTGTGACTCTGTGGAAATTGATATTGAAATGATGGAAAGATTTTGTAGTGAGAATAAGGACGAAAAGTGATTCGGTATTTTCTAGGCTTTGATATTTCGTCGTGAAGAATTTTGACCGATTGGTTTGAGATATGCATTGCACATGCTTACCTGTCACTTGCTATGGTAAGAAACAACTGAAAAATTCATTATTAGGTGACGTCATTATGTGTTTGATAACCCTGTGTGCATGGAGGTGGAGTTGCGGCTCATCGGTTCAGGGGGTTAACTTTCAACCAGTGAGTCACGGGTTCGTACCCTGTTTCACCTACCGAGGTTTGGGCAGCCAAATAATAGTATCATCAACCCTCACATAATAGGTGTGATTCGTTGCCGAATGCACGATTGTGCGCAAGGTGGCTGGAGTGCATTTCGTTTCTATATGACAGGAATGCACTATTTTAATGTGGTTGATTTCAGAAGTGCGCAACTTTAGGATATATGGCTGTAAATTAATCGTAGCGGTGCTTTTTAATTTTCCTAAAAATTTAAAACACGTGTACAGCCACTTGCTTTGGGGGTCATTCATGCTTATCTAAGTGATCTTAATGTTTTCTTCCACTCTGTATTGCCAGGAAGTGGTGCACCACTTCCTAAAGTGTTTTGCCTTTTTAAAAGTCTTTCTGTCTACCTATGTTTATCCGCTACATATCCGCTAGATTTTATATTTCCTATCACTCTAGTCCCCATCTTATTGTCAGGTTTTACAAAAAAATTGGGCAACCAATGTCGTAAATTAAAATTTGGAGATGAATTCTGTTACTTTTCATCAGCATGTTTTTCTCAATGTCTCTTTTGATCATGTGCTACAGATTGTCACTATACTTAACCTAATCACTACGCAGTTGGAGAAAAGACTTCACGATTGGCGTTTGTTACCGGTAGTAAATGTCTATGGATCATTTCATAAAAGTCAGCTTAATTGGCATTCTGAGGTGTTTTTTCTTATGCATATATTCAGTTTGGATATTCATCATGAACTAAGAATCATTGGAAACCTGGGAGCACTGTTTCGTCCTAGTTTAGGACTTCTTAGCAGTACGCTGGGCGACATCGTCAGGGATCAAACCCCGTACTTTGAGGTTCTGCGGCAAGCACGTAACTATTGATCCATTAGTGGGGAATCCAGTGATCCACATTTCCTACTTCTGTCAGTTCACGATGTAGCGCGACCTGTATACGGGGCTGTCGTTGAGCACCTGGCGTTACCAGCTACGACTTTTCATTAGGACTTCGGAAATCTCATCTAGAAGCAAGTCACTCTTGACCACTGGACATTAATTCAATTTGGAGGTATTTTTAGGATTTAGTTATTGATCTCAGACTGATATTTATCACTGAGTGACATCAGTTGGACAGGTGGGGAGTGACTGGAAACCAGAGAGCACTAGACAGTTATTTCGTCCTAGTATGTGACTCCTTAGCATTGCGCATCCATATATATTTTGTAAAATAATACGCTGAATACGTTACATCTTTTGAAGCTGTCGTCCATTCTTTTGGGAAAAATAGACTTTTAATCACTGTGTTGTGGGTTGAAACAAGAGTTCATTCGCTAAGATGAAAATAGTTGGAAGTTTCTAGAACCAAACTGCGTTAAAATAAAAATGGGAAAACACTCAATTGGTCACGGTGGGAACCTTTTTCTTAAAAAATATAAGTGTGAATTTTTTAAAGTAGAAAATTCAAAGTAACACATCAATGCAGGGAAGTATATCATGAAGTAATAGTAGTGACGGTGATGTAATAACCAGTATATGGAAACAACGAAGAGAGATAGACAAAATCTACGTAGGACCTTGTACACAACTACAGTTCAAATTGCCACACTTCACAGTGGTATACAAAGACACGTGGATAAAATAAGAATGATATCAAAGTGCACAAAATTGTGTGAGAGAATGGACAAATTTGAAGATAAAGTTTATTATGAATATTCAAGATTTAGAAGAAGTCAAAGAGTGAATACATCTGCACCAAGGTGACCGATTTTCAGCCATATTACTAGGATTTTTAAACCACTGATTTTTATCGTCTCGGAGACCCCAGCTAGGCAGTCTACATCTTCCCACACAACTCAGACCAACAGTCAAGGACTTCATGGACTAGTGCACATATTAGTCTGACCACCTTGAACCCTCTTCCAACTTAATCCAGCTTTCCCAAGCATTCCACGTCGCGGTATGTAGTGGATCGACATGTGCAACATAATGAAGTTATCAACTGCTCTCCACTGCTATTGCTTTTCACAACTTACAGATACGATTGTACAAGTGTTGAAAACGATTCGTCCGAACGAAAACTCGCTATTCTACATTATTCTTTGTTTCACTCAGCTTCAGAAAATACTTTACGAAGTGATGGTCTTGATCAACCATTGAAAGAAATCACTCATAACGACTGTATTGTTAGGAGAAGTGAGAGTTTATTGTTAATACTATGAGATGAATATTTTATTGGACTATAGTATTTTTATTAATTCATTCCTCACACCTTTTTGCATGTTTTCCTGTAAAGGCTGTTATTTCATCCAAATCTGGTCAAATTGTATCGTCTTCAACTCCACCGACAAATGAACTCAAGGTTAACTGTACCAAAGAAATGCTGACTACATCACGTTTACGTATATCCGGTGTTGATGGAATTGTTGCTGCTACTAGTAGTAATGTTGCACTACCCACTACATCAACTCTAAAACCCACAGAAAGCCTATCACAAAGCGTCAGTGCTAACAATACTAATGTGGCAATGGTATCAAATGATCGAGTTGAGAGTTCAGCGAATGCTTTATTTGCTTTTGATCTAGTCACGGCTACAACAGCTGCTTGTATACAAATTCTAACAAAATCAATTAAAGATATGGGAGGTAAATAAATATAAGATAATCAGGGAATAGTTATCATGTGTTTTGAAGTTTATGGGGGATTTTTTGTTATTTATTTCAAGACAGTACTCACCATGGACACTAACATCAGTTGGAGAGTCATTGGGAACTCGGGACTAATGGATAGCTTTTTCATCCTGGTTTGGAACTCTTCAGCAGCACACACCCACTATCCTGCTAGGGATCGTACTGAGGACCTTCGGGTCTCGCAGTGAACACGTTAGCCACTCAGCCATTGGCTTGGAGTTCAGTGGTGCACAGTTTTTTTACTTCTGCCTAGCATCCCACGTTTTCAGTGCTTTTCTAATTGATGTCAGTCCGTGATGAATACTATCATGAAACAAATTATTACTATCTCTTCGTTTTACTATCTTCATAATTCCACCAAATTATACTCATAAGAGAAGTTTGATACGAATATCCGCAGTCCATTCTGCTCGATACGTCATCCAGTAAATAATACTATATCATTGGGTCCTGGCTATATCAAATAAACAGTCTAATATGGAATTATACTTTACCACACTGCCCAAGTCTGAGGGTGACATGGAGGAGATCACGTGAGGAAGAAATGAAGGCTTTTGGGCAGTCGTGGAGCCAGGTTCAAAAGACTTCAGAGTACAGAGTGCAATGAGGACTTGCTGCTGAAGCCCTATGATCCACTAGGAATCCAAGGGACAAGTAATAATAATAATAATAATAATAATAATAATAATACACTGCCATACATTGCCTTAATGTTATCGTCTAGTCATATTACTCTGCTTAATGTTTGTGTAACAAAGTTGTGTACAGATGATGTAGTGTAAATTATATCACTACTTCTGATATGTGATACATAGTTAAGTCATGTAGGCCGCCAAATCCCAACCAGTGGGTTGTAGACTCGAGCTCCACTCCACCTGTCGAGTAGAACCAATGTCCTCACATAGTCGGTCTACTACATTGTTGCTTCTATTGCAGCTAAGCTTAAAAATTGCCTTACTGCCCTGCACTTCACTCTGTTCCACTTTGTGACTGAAACATAGCCGTTAAAAGGTTTAGGTTCAGGTGTTCGACCACGGTTGCCGCGTAGCACAGGCCGTATGTAGTAGTGTCACCTCATCAGCAGTATAGATGTCAGGCGTAGAGTTTTAGAGGGAGGAGGAATGCCAGTTGATGAGGTTATGAACCCTCGTTGACTCAGGTGACTTGGACACGTGTGTTATGCATACCTGATCACTACCTGCCTCTTCGTGCAATGTTAATTGAAATAGGTTCAACCTCTGAAAAGGTTATGGGCGGCCAGACTGAAACATGGCATCAGTTAGTCCGGCCCGTGTAGGGAAATATGGACTTCTCGGTCAGGGTCCACGTGACATTCGAAACCGGTGGTTGGAGACTGTAGGTGATACGAATCAGAATCAATGTCATTGACACAGATGTATCTTACACATTATCCTAGACTCAATCGTCATACTGAATTCAGTATCTTCTTATTCCTCCTTGTTATCTTATCACCAATTTTAATCACTTTCTTCTCCAGTTGGTCGTCTTTCACCTCGGTGCTTACTCGCCTGGTGTGCTGGTATGAGGTGCGTCAACTTGAACATTTATGCAGTAATACCTAGTCCTATGTTTATCACATGGTCTGTCTGTCATAGTTGTACTACCGAAACAGTCTACTGTATCCAATATTTTTGCATTCAGCATGTTGTGTGTTCATGCTGCACACTCCAACTTCTTATAGTTGGTAATCTTCTTCACCAGATAGTACTACTGAACAACTTGATTAGTTAGAGACCACTCAGGCTTATCTGTGGATTTAGCCAGCCAGATCAGAGTGATCCAAATGCCGGGCAGTCGTTTCGCTAGTTTTGGGCTGACCCAACTCATCAGCGATGTACCTGAACAAATTCAGCTCATAGCGCCGAATTAGTTCAGATCACCTGAATCTGGGTAGCTGACTTGTATGGACCAGTATGCCTAAAATAAGATGACCAGCTTATCTAAGTCTTTATTAGTTGCTATGAGTGGTTGCTGTCATATATATTGCCTTATTACCAACCATTTACAGTGTCTGTCTAACGACTCAGTGAATTTCATCTTGGTTAAATTATAGATTCTGAAAGTTTATTGATTCGTCTGCTGGATCGTATTGCCAAGGGGATTGATTTGAAATTTGTTATCCACTCAGATCGTGTATTGGAACCGACAACAAATAGTTCATCAAAAAGTTTCACTATGCCATCTGTATTTGGTGTACAGAATCTACGCGGGCATTTTACCATACCACAACGTCGTGTATCTACACAAGCCGGTGTAAATCTATCCAAGCCAATTATGAATAATTATTCCTCATCTTTTCCTGATTCCTCATCAACTACCGTTACAGCTACAATGACTAACAGTCGTAAACCACGCCATAGACCTCATCTTACACATTTAGTCTGTAGTGCTGGTTTATTAGTTGTTGTATTGGATAGTGTTGGCCAGTTAACTCAACGTTTTCCACATTTAGGTAAAGCTAGCTTGGATGCTTTAATCGACTTCTTGTTGAATCCAAGCCCAGTGATGAGTAGGCTAAATCGACAGATTGATAGACTGAAACATTCTAAAGCTGGAATATTAATAATCATTGAAACAATGAGGGTAAGTTATCATTCATACACGATGTGTTTTTCATTAGTCTATGGTATAACAAAATACCCATGCTAAATAAAATAAAAATTATTTCTTGTTATAAAGTTAGATATTGTTTTGAACTCTATAATCCTCAGATTATAAACCACTAAGCTTGTATATTCCTATATCAACTTTAGTTACTAACCCTGTGTGAAAAAGGAAATTTTATTTGACGTTTTACTAACTGACAATACGAATAACAGTGTCTTGGTGTACAGCTGATATGAACTGATTACTATTTCACAGAAAAAACGAAGTATGAGTTTAAGACTGAATGCATCGTCTTACATCTGACGTCGTATGATGTTATGTCTATGGTTCTACTAGATGCATAGAAGAAGCTTTCATGGCGTTACTGACTAGTCCTTTGGTTAGTATGGATGCATCCGCATAGGAGGTCATATGGCAGCACAGAGTAATACGATCCACTATAATAACGGGAAGTTAGAAATATCAATGAGTAATAACAGATAGACGTAGCTTTCCCGCTCAGTGACCTAGTGGAGAATGCCTCATTTAGTGTGAAACAACCGATATTATACTATGAACATTTGGTATTAGTTAGTCGGAGGCAATTGGCAGGAAACCCTGCTCAACCTGGCAAGGTGTATCTACAACTCCGATGAAACTGATGCCCCGTCTGAGATTCGAACCGCGTTAACCACTGTTGTGGTTAGTGACATTATTAATTTTTCCCCTTGGGTTCCTAGTGGAACATAGGTCTTCAGTAGCACGCCTCCATTGCACTCTGTTCTCTGCAGTCTTTTGAACCTGGCTCCACGACTGCCCAAAAGCCTTCATTTCTTCCTCACGTGATCTCCTCCATGTCACCCTCAGCTGGGACGCTTGACTCGTCGTTTCCCTTTCGATTCCACTCGAGGACCTCGCCTGGCGCATGATGTCCTCAATCGGCGTTCTCAGTGTATGCCCAGTTCAATTCATCTCCACTTTCTTCTGCATATTTGTTGGGTAATAGGTTCTTGATTGATTCGTTGCCCGGCCAGAGTGAAGTGCTAGCGCAACTGAAAATCGTAATGAGAAAAAGTCTACTCAGCTATCGCAAACAGTGGTAGGCAGCGAAGGCTAAAGAGATGGTAAAGGCAGCGGCGATCGGCAACAGTAAACAGTTACTTAGACTTATTAAGGAGACTGGGGAAAAAAGTCAACAACAGTTAGCGAGGCTATAGCAGAGAAGGACGGATCTGCGATTCACTCTCAGAGGAGACGACTGGAACAATAGGCAGAACACTTCGGGAAGCAGTTTAACTGGCCTCCAGCCACCATTGCGTTGCCTACTATCCAGTCGGGTCCTGAATGGAACCTTGAGATAGGCCACCCAACATTAGGAGAAGTCGAGGAAGCTGTAGGTAACGTGAAACGAGGAAGGGTGGCAGGACCAGACGGACTACCTGCTGAGGTATACAAGAATGGTGTTAGAGTGGTCTTAGTAAGGTTCACTGGAGTGTTGACCAGTATATGGGAATCAAATATGATCCCCTCTGACTGGCCTAAATCATGGACTATTCCAGTCTTCAAGAAAGGTGAGAAGTCGTTTTGTGATAACCACAGAGGAACCAGTCTGACGAACATAGTATCTAAAATTCTAGGTTCTATAATTCTTCGACGCTTGAGTGGAGCTCGGGAACAGCAAGCCTGAGAAAACCAGGCAAGCAGGCGGGTTTTAGACTCGATCGTGGGTGTATCGACCATATATTCACACCGTGTCAGGTCCTGGAACATAGTAGCATAGGCCGTATTCCTTGGTGTCACCACGTGAGTAATGCAGAAGTCAGGTATAGAGTTTTAGGGAGTAGAGGTAAATCAGTTGACCTTCATCGACTGAGATGGTTGTGACACATGTTACGTATGCCTAGTCACCGATCGCCTCATCACCCAATGTTGGCCGAAGTAGGTCCAGGCTGGAAAAAGGCTCGAGGTGGCCGGACTAAAACATGGTATGAATGTATGAAGTATTTGACTGTTAGTTTGAGCCATGTGGGGGGATGCAGACTAGGTGGTTGGGTTTGGTGGGACAAGAGGAACCAGTGGTTGGAGACTTGGTGATATGGCTGAGAACCGAAGTCAGTGGGGCAGATGTATGCAAACATTATCCTCATCTTAACACTATATCGACTCTCGCCATTTTGTCATTTTCCATTTCTTTCTTCTCGTACTTAGTATTTCTTTGGAGTGAATTTTCTTACCTTCATCTTTCACTTGTGGCAACTCGAACTATTGCGCTGTAATGCCGGGTCCTATGTTGATGTTGTTGATGATGAGAGTTCCTTGTTGCTTGTTCTTATTATTCTGACAATCTAATCTTCAGTATCGAGCCAGCGTAGACAGCTGTTGACGAATGTCTGTAGTTTTTTGGAAATGCTTTTCGTGACGCGCCAAGTTTCTGAACCGTATAGCAGCACTGACTTACTTGACATTGGTGTTGAAAATCCGGATCTTGTTCTTTATGCTGAGTGGAGTGCAGTAGATCTCCACAGTTATTTTAGATTAATGAAAGTCTTTCTTGATTTTACGGTCCTGGTTTTGACATCCTCACCTGTGCCGCCTGTAGTTGAAACGATGCTGCCTATGTAGGTGAAAGAGACTACTTCCTATAGGTTTCTCCCATCTTCTCGCTCCTCACAGTTTTCTGCATGATCCAGTCAACCACAATCAGGAAGATCATGGGTGATAGTAGGCAGTCTTGTCTTAACCCTGTCTTCACTTCAGAGGCGCCACTGAGCTTTCCATTGTGGACCACTTGGTATGTGGCGTTTTCATATAGCTGTTGAATGAGGTTGATAAAGGTTTGTGGTACTTCGTAATGTTGAAACAGTTGCCAAATTACTTCTCGGTCGACGTTGTCAAAGGCCTTTTCAAAGTCGATGAAGTTGAGGTAGAGTTGAGTTGCCTGCAGTTCTATACTCTGTTCCATGATGATGCGTAGTGTTGGAATTTGACCCGCAAACGATTTGTTCTTCCTGAAGCCAGACGGCCTGTTCCTGTCGTAATTTTGAGTGCAGAGCATTTTTCAGGATGATGCAGCTCGATATTTTGGTATCTAGGTGTGGATAGAAGCATGATTCTTCACCAGTTCTTGCAAAGACCTAGGTCGCCCTCCTTTGGAGGTTTGATAAGATAGCCCCTCTTCCACTCTGCAGGCAGGTACCTTCCCTTCCTTCCTTCCAAACCTTGTGCAGTAGTGGTGTGAGCATGTCCGCTATTGTCTCTGTGTCCGTCTTAAGTGCTTGTGGTGGAATTCCGTCTGATCCCGCTGCTTTCCCGGATTTCAGCAACTTAATTGCGTTGAGTACTTCACTTCTGGTTTTGTCGGAGGGCTTGTGTTCACTGGTGGTTCTGTGGCTGGGCTGCCGGTGGTGTTTCTGGAGGAGTTGCAGGTGATGGTGATGGTGGTGGTCGATTCAAGGGCATTTTGAAGTGGTCAGTGCATCGTTTCGTTTGTTTGTGGTCTTCGGTAACTAGGTTTTCTTCACTATTCTTCATTGGTTTTTATCTGCGTTGATCTCTTCCCTCCCAGATAGTAACCTGGTTATTTGATACATTGTTGTCAGGTCTCTGCTACCAGCAGCCTGTTCTGCTTCACTTTTCAGTGTGTCGTAGAGGTGTCCTTTGTCTTTGTGCATACTGTTCTTCACTTCTTTGTCTAGTGTAGTGTTTTGTATGTTGTGTTCAGTTTCTCTTCTCCTTGTTCATCCTTGCACTGCACGGCACTGGTTCATCTTCTGCTTCATCATCTTCCTCTCCCTCCTTTATCAGCCTCCATGTGAAGATGCGTCGTGATCCATCCCATTACTTGTCTTGTTTTTCTTCCTTCATAATATGGTTATGCAGGTTTCTTTCCACATCTCTTTCAAAGAGTTCCAGTGTTCTTCGAGGCAGGTTTCCTCGGGGATGTTGCCTAATGTCTCCCATTTTTTCCTGATGACTGACTGACGTGAAGATGTCGTTTGTAGTTTTGTGCTTCAGTTTCTGTTCTGGGTGTTTAACTTGTACTGTGGTGTATCACCAACTTCTTTGAAAGCTTCCAACTTGATTTTGAAGGTAGGTAGGTTCCTTGGAGTAGATAGTGAGTGGTGTGAACCTACATCTGCTCCCCTTCTTGATCTGTCTGATCTTGTGTCCAGTAGGCTGCGTCTCCATCTCCCCTTTCTTCATATTGAGATGAAGTCGATCTGGTTTTTGGTGTAGTGTGTAGTGGTGTTTGGTGAAATCAAATGCATGTCGCTGCATTGTGAATATCATTGTGTTTGTACACACTGCCTGAATCCAATCACCAAATTGTTGAATGCACAGAAATCTGCAAATCTGCAAACAGTTCTCCATTCTCGTTCATTTCAGTGAGTGCTTCTCGACCCATGATTAGTTCTCTTCGTGTGTTGTCTGCTCTCAGTTTGGCATTCATGTCACCCACCTCACCGATTAGAATGAATTTTGATGTCAGCAACTGGAGTGGAGTCTTGTCCGTTACTGATTAGAGTTGTCTGCAGAATTCTCAATTCTTCTATTGATCTGGATTCTTTGTAGGTGGGTAGTGTTGGATTGTATGGTTGTGATTTCCGTTGCTTTTGATTTGAATCTTTCTATCGTGATCCTGGAGAAGATTGGTTCTCTTTTCATGAGAGTTTTTGATGCGCTTGGAGACATCATGATAGCCACTCGCAAACTTAGTGTGCTCGTAGTTGTCATGTTGCTGACAATATCGGAGTAGGTTATTGACTGTGCAGTTCAGAGTTTGGAGAATCCATTTGCACTCGATCTGGTTTCGCAGATTCTCAGCCTTGTACTTCTATGCTATATCTTCTCATCTGTTTTGCCGTCTGGGCAGCCTTGCCAGCTGGCTTGAGATATTGTGTGGACATTCCGTGTCCGTAATCTTAGTGTTGCTATTATCGATGGAAGTGAAGACACATCGGCCTACTGGCTTCTAGAAGGCTTTCAGAAACTGGCGTCATTTCGCCTCTTTGTTTCCAGTGAGGAATAAGTTTGTTTTTATTTTTTATATTTTGTTTGTGTTTTGAAGTTTGTTTAGCGATTGTATTGGTTTCCTGAGGTAGGATTCCTGGGCCTAGGTGCCGAGGCGAGGTTAGTGACGTTACTACTCAGCTATTCGCACTACGATTGACCTCCTGTAGGACTGAATTTAAGATATTGTCTGGTCACGGGAGAGCAACCTATTCCATGTTGTCTAGTCTTGATTGTGGGTCGAATTCTATAACGATATTTAGCCTCCTAGCTTGGTGTTTATTTGTTCAGTAGAATTCTGTCAGCACTCAGGAGGACTAGACTACATGAAATTGGCTGCTCTCCAGTGATCAATCAAAGTGCCGTGGACGGTAAATGTGTTTGACTTTCGGCAGTGACACTGCATGTTTTCATCACTTCTTTGATGGGTTACGGTTGACGAAACCACTACTATTGTAAATGGGTGCTTTTTAGCGATGGCTTCCGTTTGAAAGCCCATAAAAATGAAAAGATATAAAAACGGAATCGGTTTATATGAAACCACCGACTGATAGAGAAATGTAGGTTTTTCTGGTTACACAGCATGTGTTAGATGACGAAAACTGCTATCTGAAGAGGTTTGTTGGCAAGTTCTACATCTTTATCCGTTATAATATTACTGTAAACTCACATTGTACAGGGGAAGTGAGGCAACTGATGAAGTTTTCTGCTGTGCAGCACCCACCGTAACTAGAGAGCATATGTGATATACACTGAGCCACCGTCTACTGTGGTACTAAACAGTAGCTGAAGTTGGATTTGGTTTTGAGAACGTTAAAAGTCAGCAGCTTAAGGTAGGATTTCAATCCATAAAATCCATAAAATTACTGATTTCTGCTGATATGTTTGCGTGTGCTGTGTCGGGAGTCGGGAGTCCTCGAGATGGCAGGAGGTCCTAGATAATAGCTGAAAATATTTGACGGTTTGACTAACCGAATTATTCTTCGTTTATTCTTTTTCTCACTTCCTATATTATCCTTGTTTGTCCGTTTCTCGTCATTTTAATTTTGTCGATTCCGGTTTTATGTCCTCTCGTTGGTTGTGGCAATTCAAACCACTGCACTTTTTCTGCTAATTTCCGCATTGTCTGTCTACCCCATTTAAAATCCATTGATGAGTTTGTCAGGTACTCATAAGGCGTAGTAGGCACAATCCTTATTGTAATACAGCTTGTAAAGCAGAAATCTTGCATCTTTCATCAAAATTACAGATGCATAAAGAACTTGTTCAGTATAAGGGTGGTTACCTGTTAATTATTTGTGCTGCCCTCAGATACATTTTACGAAGTGTTGTTTCGAAGTCTGAACCTAATTTTTGTCCGACAACTTTTAGAAAGAAAACCATTGTTGAAAGTGATGTTTTGGTTTTCTAAAGATAAAAAAAGGTTACAGTGAGGATAATTATCTTTTCGATGACTCGTTTTAACAATCGTACATTCTTAAATATATACTTGAAATAACAGAATGTTCCAGACAAGTTTCCAATCAAAACCATAACTTAAGTCAATATGCGTGTATAGGGAATGAAGTGGTATTACGTAACATGCAGTGAACAGTTATATTTGGTATTTGGTAAAAATAAATGGATAAACATGTGATAAAATATCAACAAATAAATAAACAAGTAAATAGAATAGAATAGAAGATAAGATATAAGCAGAAGTGTAGACTACTTGATTAAGACCATGGTGAAGAGAGTGTTTATACAGGTTTCTTTTGAATCCACAATTGAGGTTTGAAGCTGTGAGCTGCCAAAGCTTCGGCTGTACATAGGTGTCTAATCCTCATCCCCTCTGAACGGCAGCCACCCTTAAGTAAACTCGACGTTTTACTTCCTCAGTGTCAAACTTGAAAGAGGGCCTGATAATTCCATCCAAAGATCTATTTGCAGAAGGCCCATTTGGACGGAGCAATTGACCAACTTTAAAAGTTACATGCTTCTAAGGAGGAAGAAGAACCTTGTGAGTTCACTCTAATCAAGAATGAAAAAGATATGCGGAGATGAAACACATAGTGAATGGTTACCTATCCGGATTAATAGGGAAAAGTATGAAAGAAAAAAGACTATGGAACAGATTCCGATAGCTCCGAAGAAAATGCCCCTAATGAAACTCAGATTTGAAAGTGATATTGCCACAAGCATCCTTCATCAACTTTTATCAAAGTCCCTATGTAGAACATTCTACGCCGCAAACCTCCGTATTGTTTTCTCCTTTCAACACCCAATTTATCAGTGCGTGAAAGACAAGCTGGCGCATTGGGCCTCAACACTGTGTATTTACAAGTTCACTTGGTACTGTGGAGCTGAGCCGTACTATGCGCTCGCTTTAAGAACGCGCTCGCGGAGATTAGCAAACGTGACTGCTGAAGGGTGAGAACAAGACCATCTCCAGCTCTATTGAGTAACATCTCGTAGACTCCGGACATTTGGTTCCTCTGGAAACACCATTAAAAATTCTCAATTTGTTCAAAAGCGGTGAGGATTAGACACCTATGTACAGCCGAAGCTTTGGCAGCTCACAGCTTCAAACCTCAATTGTGGATTCAAAAGAAACCTGTATAAACACTCTCTTCACCATGGTCTTAATCAAGTAGTCTACACTTCTGCTTATATCTTATCTTCTATTCTATTCTATTTACTTATTTATTTATTTGTTGATATTTTATCACATGTTTATCCATTTATTTTTACCAAATACCAAATATAACTGTTCACTGCATGTTACGTAATACCACTTCATTCCTTATACACGCATATTGACTTAAGTTATGGTTTTGATTGGAAACTTGTCTGGAACATTCTGTTATTTCAAGTATATATTTAAGAATGTACGATTGTTAAAACGAGTCATCGAAAAGATAATTATCTTCACTGTATCTTTTTTTCATTATCAATGACCAAATAGGGATTTTCGGTTTTCTCCATTCAAGGAAGAATGGTGAAATGTCGAAAAATTGGTCGCTACGGCTCACATATATTCACTTTTTCACGTTTATAAAGCTTGAATATTCGCACTAACCTTTATCTTTAAATCATTCATTTTCTCATACAACTTTGTCTACTTTGATATCAATCTTATTCTATACAGTTGTTGTGTATATGGTAGTGTAATGTGTGGCAAATAAAAATGCATTTGTCTACGAGGTTCTACGTTTATTTTGTCTGTCTGTTAAAGTTGGAATGTTCAGCTTTAAAGTATTATCATGTATTTGTTTATTTCAACGAAAAATTTTCTTCGCTTTTTATAATGTTGACATTTTTATCTTATAGAAAACAAATTCATCTGCTTCACTTCCCGTATATGAAGCACAGCTAACTGAATTATACAAAATTGAACGTCATTTAACCTATTACAATCGTATACTGGAGCATATACGAGGTGCAGCTATTGAAAGCCTCTGTCGGTATGATATAATACTTGTTTTACATTACTATTCTTTCCCTCTAAAAAAATTAAAATATTACTTTTTCGTTGGTGTTGTTGTGTTTAGCCAGTTACACTAATCATTGTCGAACAATCTCCACTATGAAGGTATGATCTCGAATTCCGCCTTTCCAAGTTCATCTAAGATATATAACATAAATGTATCTTGAGGTTAACCGAGATTTTATTTCGAAGGTGGTATTCATCACAGAAACTGATGTCAGTTGAAGAACCATTGAAGGCCTGGAAGGACTGGACGGCGTTTCGTCCTAGTATGGGACTCCTCACAATGCGGACCAACGACCCTTTTAAGGATCAAACTCAAGACCTTCAGGTTTTATGGCGAACGCGTAACCATTCAGTCACTGGGTCGTAGTTCAATGGTACATGGTTTCCTACTTCTGTCAATTCGCGGTATAGAGCAACTGTTGTTTGAGGTCTTCAGTTGGCATCCACTTCACCTTCGGCCGGTTGACCTCACAGGTCTCGGCTTCTCATTAGAAATTCGGGATATCAATCTCGGAGCATGTTGCTCACTAAGGTTCACTATACAGTAATTTATTTTGAGGTTATTGGGGTTTCCACTGATTCTCCAACTGATATCCGTCCGTGATGAATACTACCTTGAAAATATATGACATTGTCATCGGAACTGTGTGACGAAGTCGTATGCATACTTGTTTTTATTGATACGAACCAGTTGCTTATAAAAGATAGACGTATTGTAAGCTAGTTAATGACTTGGTTGCTTGTGCAAATTTTAGTTGAGAATGTGTCATTAATTCGTCTAGATTCAGGGAGGATATAGTTTATGCTAATAAGGTGGTGGGTTCATCCCTATTAAATCAGATTTAGTTTGACTAACCGCTTTCAGGAAACTGAAACCAACTAGTTTCTTTTATGACACCTAGGGGATTTACTGGTCAATTCACAATAGTACTATCTGTTATGTAGCTGTTACTGTAGGGCAGAGATAGAAATACCTAAAAGCTTGGCAACAACAACCGTACAGAGTAGTGTTCATCATCACTATCAATTGCAGAGCTCTGCGGCTCATTACTTTAGGGAATTGACTTGAATCAGTGGGTCGCGGGTTCGAATCCCGTTCCATCTATTGAGGTTTGGACAACCAGGTAGTATCATTAGCCCTCACAAAATAGGTGTGGCTTATTACCGAATGCATAAATGTGCATAAAGGTACTGAATGCATTTTAATTTGACGTGGAAAAACTGTTTATCGTTACCGCTTGGCACGTCATAAAATGCTACCAGAAAAGTCAGATTAAAATTGCGGGAGGTGTGCCTCTACACCAGTAATTTAACATTGATATTTAAAAGAAACCTGTATAAAATTGGGATAAAAACTATGAACAAGTCGTCAATACTGAAACATCATGATGATTGCTTGTTCTGTATGCTAGATAATTTACTGACTGAAATTACAGTCATTAAATACTACACGAAATGGAGTCGACTGATTATTAACGAAGTTCTAGGTCCTAACGCGTCAAGACATACTCTTCATATAACTGTTGCTGTGTTAGAGGTGCTTTCCAGCCTCAAAGTTGTAATGTGTCAGCAACACATATATACTACTTTGAACGACCTTTCCTGTAATAATTCTGGAGAATTATCCAAATGTTTGTTCTAAAGACAGTTTATTTAGTCTGTCGTTTGTTTATTATTCTTACTATTATTGTTATTACTATTACTGTATTTTAGTATTTTGCTTCTCAATCCGAGCTTCATTGAAACATTCCTAGCTGATCTGTCGTGTAGAATTTTCAATGCAGCTGAAAGTGATAGGTAGGTTGTCGGCAGAGTTTATGATGTTTTTTATTCTTTAAATATTCATTCACTCATTTATTGATGCATAAACTAGTCTACTTGGTTGTATGTTTCTGTTGCACGCAAGCGTCCACATTCACGGAAGCTGTAAATTATTGATTATTATTTGTTGGTACTTGTAATTACAATCAATAAAAAGCGATTTATACCCGCTGACAGAAAGTAGTGTTATGCCTCAGTGGCTTAGTGGATAAAGCTTCGGTGTTTAAAGCTATGGTCACAGGGTTCGCGTCTCAATGGGGATATTATCACTCACCGAGTTGCGGGTACGTCCAACTGACGAGTCCCAAATAGGACGAAACGTGCATTGCTGGGTTCCACTGTTAGCCATCACCAGGTTGAATTATAAGTAAGGGTATTGGTGACTCATATGAATCATTTATACGTTATCCTTGTTCAGTTCCAATCTACACTGAGGGTGTTACAAAATACAAAAAGTATATCGTTAGAGAACTACTCAGTTGTGAGAAGCATCAATGTGTACTGTTTGGTTTGTAAAGGAGTTACAAATCGCTTATCCATTTTGCCGTCATTCTGCTCACCTTATCGTGCGTTTACTGACATGAGTATGTGAATTCTTGGACTTCCCAGTCAATATTCTTAACATTTCACGTTTGAACTATTCAGCAGAGAATTGAGGTCGAAGAGCATTCCAGGTAATTTGTATCATTCTCTTCTTTTTTACAAGACAGACCTACAATTCATTGTTTGACCTCTGTAGCATGGACACTCAACCACGCTGCCTTTAGTAAAGTTTGCTCAGACAGTATAGATAATCCGTATGCAGTAGATTCGCCTCCTAGTTCTAGTATACAAAGTTGGATCGAGTAACTTAGTTGCATCTACTACCAATTTCGTCTTAACTAAGTAGTTAAGTTGTCTGTTATAACTTTGTCTTGATACTGGGTGATCATTGGAGGGAAATGAAAATCTGGGCAATGGCTGGGCTCGGACCAGCGACCCCCATGTCACCGGCCTTGTGATCTACCACCAACTGAACTGCGATACCCTCCTGGTGACAGTTTTTGATTTCACCTCAGTCACTAAGGGGTTTGCCGGACCGCCATGTGATTTTGTGACACATTACTATCGCTTGATCATATTCACAAGTCCTCCTCAAAGTCAGGACTTTTCATCGAATCGAAATCTACTATAGAGGAGAGCATCGTACTGATTATCTCTTCGAATTTCTAAAATGGCCGTGATTTAGCGGACTTGTATTGATTCCGGATGATACTGGATATTTTTATCCGTGTCTATACTAACTAACACTATACTCTCACAAATACATGTATCTGTACTTATTGTTGGACTGCTTAGATTGTCTGAGTGCTGAACTCGTCGGTTTATTTGAGTTTCTGAATTAATGCTGTTCCTCCTACGTTAGTTTGACTTTTATAAGAGAAATTGTTGGTAACAATTCTATCTATTAGCACTTAATTCTGTTTGGAAAACAGCACTGAACTGTTGCTACCTAGCAAGTTAGTGGAATCTCTCTTATCTGAGTTGTTCACTGGTTAAGATATACACGGACTGACTTACACAACCCTCTTTGGAAATAACATCTTGCCTAGTGAAAGTGAGATAATTAGTAGTCGTAATATGAGATTCGTGCAGCAAACCAGGAGTGACTTATGCTTCATGGAGGTTGATTTCATGACTTAGCTACCCAAAACGACGCCCTATGTGGAATGATGGAACTGTTTTCTTTGACTCACTTGTTTCAGTGTGAATTTCTAAACACATAACTCTCTCCCACACAATAAAAAAGAAACATTCTAACTGTTTCTAGAGTACAAAACTATGAGTTTTACAACATAATGTGCATATTCTTTTCATATCGTTGATGAGTATGTTTACACACTTTCACACTGGTATGTGTGTGCTCCAGCTTTGTGGTGGACGTATATTCTAAATGGCATTGATTCCTACCTGCTTGCAAACGAATTTCGTGTGATTAGTTAACTGGTTTTATGGCTGTATATTTAAACAGACTGAATTTTTTTATGTCTAATTGCGTCATACACCCTACCGACATCATTTCTCAAAGCAAGTCAGCCATATAAAGGATTCCATTCTTGCGTAAAACGCAGCTGTTGTCAAAAGTAGTGGTTCATTTGTCGAAAAAATTGAAATCGAAAAGCATTCCGAAACCTTGTGCACATTCGTACATTAGGCTGCCGCCCACACGGTAGGTGGAGCTGGATTCAAACCTCAGCCTCACTGAATCATTTCTACATCTGCACAAAAAAACTATTGCTTTTGTTGTTGCATAATCACCACCACTGAGTCATCATTCATTCAGTATTTGAGTTCTAGTTTCATTAAACTAGTCTACATTCTAAATCATTATAGAACATCTTAAAACCTTTTTGGTGCAATAGTGATGCTACTCAAAACCCTTGTACACAGTATCTCGGATGGACTGATAATTCAGATGGATTTTGTATTTCACTTCAGCTGTTTTTAGTGTAGTTGTTGATATTATTGTCCCAACTGACGTATACTGCAACATCTGAGTTGAATTTATTTGGTAATTTCTTCAAAGTACATGGCTGTTAGTTGGTGTCATATGATAGATTTAAAATTACAGTTGTATAATTATTCAGATGAATTTAAAGTACAATTTGCTTGTTGATAGTCAACAAATACAATTGTCAAAATCGAACTATCTGATTGTCCAATGTTTACATCACCTTCAGTAAAGTTATTCCACTATTGTTGCATTCCCTGATAAATATGTAAAAAATGGTGTCTCATTTCCAAATGTTCAGACTCCATTTCATTAAGTAGTAGCACGTATAGATGGAAGAATTTTTTTTAACAAGTTCTTCTAATCATTTAACAGACAAGTGTTGTTGCTTTTATTCCTGTTTTGTATCTGGGCTATACCTTTCCATCGTTGCATCTATGACTCATTCGCCCAGTCATTTGACTTATAATCAACCTATAGGTCAGGAGTTCGAATCCGTTCTGCCTACTGAGGTCTGGGCAATCAGGCAGTATCATTATCCCTTATCTATTGCGTGAACGTTCAGGCTAAATAAATCGTTTACAAATATAGACGAGTTTATCATTCAAACACAACTGTTATATGATTGAAGATGATACTAAACTGGTGTTCGATATTAGAATTGACTGACGATAGTACATGGTTAATCTATTGAATGCTTTACATTCCTTTATTGCTAAGTTTGATAATGAGATTTGTCACTTTTGATTTCATTGAATTTGATTTTAGCCGACAAACCAGGTAAATATTTTATAAAAGAAAGTTTTTTTTCTTCCAAAACACCTACTCAAATTTAATAGTGTAAGCATATACATGCACATAGGAGTTCGATTCTTTGCACCACGTTTTGTTGCTTTTCTCACCTCAGTGTTTATATGTGTGTTAACGTGTGATGCTATGCACATCAGTTTCAATACACTAATAATTGTGTTATTATTATGTGGTTAGTTTATTGAAGAGTATGGAAAACCATTTTATACTACTACCTTTTTAAACAGTAGTTCGGATACCGTTCTAGTTCGCTTTTACATACATACATACATACATACATACACACACACATACACACATAGCTCAGCTACGTGGTTTTTTCACGGGTTGCGGTTGAATATGTTGCTTAAATTTGCGTAACTAATTCATACCTGCCTAGTAAGCAGGAACCATATTTTGTTTTGTGTGAAGATTAGACGTTCTAGAACGTACATATTATTGTGTGATGAATGAGTAATTGAATGTACTTTGGTATCATAATTATTCTCAACTAAAATTGATTTGACAAGTATTACACCACATAAATTGATTGTCGTTAATGCTACAATGAGGCATCTATTTGTGATTGGATGATCGCCTCCAGTTGCTTAATCCCGTCCTATCAGTAAAGTACTTCTTTTCGGCTTCGTTAAACTAATTAGTTGCGACTGTTGTTATTTTGTATTGCAAACGAACAATCGTTGTGTTTCTTGACATTAGGGCTGCGTTCGATTCGTTAGATAGCTGCACTCTGGAATTGTCTGTTAAAGAGGAGCTTGCCTGAGAAATTTATTAACATCCTGAAAGCCCTATATAAAAACACCTTAAGTAGACTGAAGGCATACAACCACCTCTCTCCATTGTTTCAAACCATCAATGGGGTTAGGCAGGGTTGCTCCCCATTCCTCTTTAACTTTGCCATCGATGACATTCTTGAGACAGCTCTGGTGTGTGATGGTGGTGTAAATCTACTACCAGGAAAACGGTTATTCGACCTCGAATATATGGACGTTACTGTCTTACTGTGCAATAACCCACCGGCTACTCAAATCGCACTTAGTCAGTTGGCAATTAGCGTCCGTAAGTATGGTATTAGCTTCGCACCATCGAAGTGCAAAGTATTTTTGCAAGATTGAGAGAAGCTGATGCCTGTGCTCACCCTTGGCGGCGAGCCATTATACGTAATCGAAAAGTCCGTGTATCTGGGTAGTTGTTTGTGTAATGAAATTTACAACCGCATACCAAAAGCTAGATAGGCTTACGTCAATCTGGGCCACCTTTAGTGCCGTCACGACGTTAGTCTGACCGTTAAAGGTCGGGTTTTCAACGTTTTGGTGAAAGCAGTTCTCCTCCACGCTTGTGAAACCTGGTCTTTCCGAGCTGAGGATATGCGATGACTGTGTTCGATCATCGTTGTCTCGTAGAATTTGCCGTATCTGGTGGCAACACCATGTAAGTTATCCTGAGATGACAGCGTGTGTTTGGGCATGATAGAGGTTGTCACTCAATAAGTGAAGTGATTTGGAAACAACGACCTCGGTGGCTTGGATATGTGTTACACATGTGATCCCAACGGCTTCCACACCGTTCATTGCTTGCTAACCCTGGGACTGGATGGAAGAAATGGAGAGGTTTTCAGTGGGATGAAGGATGGTTGTATCGGGTTAGCATCTGTCGGTGCGTCACAACTCCCTGAGTGGGGTTCGAGAGATCACGCAACTCAGTAACTTGAGACGTTATCAGATGTGGCTGAGAATCGAAACGAGTGGTGGTCATTCTGTGGCTTTCATCTATCATCTGTTGCTAAAAATTACTGAATGTTTTGTTTTGAACGTGTCTTATGGGACCGCCTTTTTAAGCATTCTCTTCTTATTATGTTTTTTCATTTGTATTTATCCACTTCCCTTCGCTTTGTCTTCACAATGTTGCTATATTATTTTGTGTAGCGCATTTCTTGATGCTCTTGGTATACCATGTTTGTGTTCTAATTAAAATAAATTATTTAATAGTAGTAGTCATTGACCATGCATTTCTTGAGATAAATCGAGGATAACGCATAATATAGTTACTGCATGAACGACACGTAACTTGACAACTGGCTCAACCGATACAAAAAGACTATTGCAGTGGGGAGATTTTACTCCAATCGAAAGATAAAACGCTTACTTGTTTAATACAGTGTACGCGCCCTTGTGATGAATAGGCGAAATAGGGTATTAAAAGTGGAAAAGTAACCAGCTCAACTTGGGTTTTTATCCTTGTTGGCAATCGTCAACAAGGTGTATCTGCAACCTCCACTTAGGAATTAAAAACCACCCCACTTAATGCTCAAGTCAGCGATGTTACCACTGAGCTATTCGGACTGTTCGGGTCACCGAGTCTGTTATGTATTTGCCTTATATTCGTAACTATTCGAAGGATGTGATTCTACCTATTCACGCATAACGCTGACCCATTTCATCATATGGTTAGTCTTGCGTCGTATGCTTCCCAAGTCTCGTATGCTAGACAGAAAATTAGGGTAATGGCTTGTGTGTGTGTGTGTGTGTGGGGGGGTGATCGACCTGCTTCTGTGTGGTATTCATCACTTGAAAGACCATCAGAAGTGATGGTTTCTCGATACAAGTCATAATTCTCATGTAAAATGAGGGCATATGTAAACGGATATAAGGATGTACAAATGAATAAACATGTACTAACGCAAACATTTGTGCATGATAATAGAAGAATGTACAAGCCGAATAAAGGAATGTAGACTGAAAATATATAAAAGCTGGGTCCGAAAATTAGACATAGATATTGTCCATTGAAAAGTACTAGATTATGAATAAAACTGTGAATAGTAATGATAAACGAGACACAACAATAACAACAAACTGGTGGATGAAATAAGAAACAGTTAGAAGAACCAGTGAATTCTTTGACTATTTGGTGACATGATTGTTCTAAAAAATAATATCCACACATTGATTAGTAACTGGAGAGTGAGTGATTGCAGATCGTTTAGTTCAGAATGTTGACCGAGCTAGGAGGTTAACCATCGTGATGTACCTTGATAAATGTTAGTTGATTAGAGACGATTGACAGGATACCCTGCTTGATCTAGGTTTCGTGTTTGTCGACAATCATCGTCAAAGCAAGGCGTATCTGAAATCTCGAGGGAACTGATGTTCTCCGTGAGACTGGAATCCTCTTCATGGGTACATTGCAAAGTGATTGATAGAATTCGGTCAGTATTCAGTACTATATAACATGAAGTTGATAACTCTGTTATGACCAATCAATGTATGTAATCCAGTCTCAAAAGAGGTCAATGGCGACACGAATAGCTCACCGATGTTTCTGACTGTAGCACTGGTTGGGGGTAGGTTCGGATCATTGAGGCAATATCAGTGCCTTAATGATGAGTGCCAATAAGCACGAAACCTGTTTGAAGCAGGGCTTCCTGCCAGTTGTTTAGCATTAATCAAAGTGCACGGTGATGCTGATTCTCCTTACTTGGTGACGACATTGCAAAGCGATATATGGAGTGAGGTCAGCACTTATGACTAGACAAAATTCGTGATACATTTGAGTTTATTGATAGTACTAAGGATGTTGACATCACCGGCAAGGCTATGTTTTCCTTAGATGTTACCTCATTGTTCACCATTGTACCACTCACTGAAACTGTTTATTACATATGTGATTTTATCGAGTCACAGAATATAGAAGTAGGAATTCCAACAAACTACTTGAGAGAGCCGTTGAGGAGATGCATTTTCTATCTGCAACTTAGTTTCGATGGTGAGACACACCGCAAAATGATGGGGTTGCAGTGGGATCTCCACTAGGACCTCTAATGGCAGATGTTTCATGTCAAAACTAGAAAATTCTATCCTTAGCCCAACTATTAAGCATTTGACATCTATAAACGATGTATGGATGATATATTCGTTATTTGCGACTCAACTATCGTTCGATATAACATCTTGCACGAATTTAACAATTGTCATTCAGCATTGGAATTCACTATTGAGAAGGGATGGAATAAGTTATTCCTTTTCTTGATGTACTGATTACGAGACGTAGCGATGGAACGCTGAGATCTATCTACAGAAAACCCACATAGAATGGACAACTCACTAATTTCTATAGCTGGGTGCCAATCATGAGGAAGAGAAACCTCATCCGCTCACTGTGTCATCGAATACGTAATATTTGTAGCATGAAATATGTCCAACTTGAACTTGACTTTCTAAGAGGGACGCTCGCGGAAAACGGCTATCCTAGCCGATTTATCGATAAGAATATACGAGAAACACATGAAAAACCAGTCACCAGCTCAGTTTTAAAAAGACTGTTTATGTACCTAGACTTCAAGGGTGATACAGCATCAGATACCCTAAAAAATCGTTTTTCAGATCAATTTGTAGGACCTTTTTCTCAGCAAAACTTCACTTGATCTTTACCAGTCGTAAATTGTTCTCTGTTAGTATAAGAGACAATATCCCTTGACAGGCCACATGCATGTGTATCTAACAGTTCATCTGCTTCTGTGGAGCAAGGTACATCGGCGTTGTCAGAGATTGCTGTCAACACGTTATACGAGAACGTGTTCCGGTCTGGTTTTATAAGGATGAAAGGAAATGCATCAGAAGTTCTTTCTTTGAGCATTAAATCGATTCCAAACATTCAGCCGACCCAAACAAGGATTATATAAGATTGCATAACTCAAAGTCCATGACAACGTTGAGTGTATCATGGATGTCTGTTTGTGTCTCAATCTTGGCCCCTGACTGACTTGGCGCTACGACATGGTGTATTTGTGATGCAACTCATTACCCGCCCATTCACTCCTGTTGAAGTTTCACCATGTCTGTATTTGGTAAGAGTCTTACACGTTCATGCTTGTGTATTCTTTTTGTACATGTGGGCGTCATTTTGATTAGTTGTCTTTTTCACTTTGATTGATTTTTTGTACAGCTTAGTCTGTACCTCGTTGCTTTTGG